GCTCTACACCCCTCACCTCTGCTCTACACCCCTCACCCTCTGCTCTACACCCCTCACCTCTGCTCTACACACCTCACCTCTGCTCTACACCCCCTCACCTCTGCTCTACACCCCTCACCTCTGCTCTACACCCCTCACCCTCTGCTCTACACACCTCACCTCTGCTCTACACCCCTCACCTCTGCTCTACACCCCTCACCTCTGCTCTACACCCCTCACCTCTGCTCTACACCCCTCACCCTCTGCTCTACACACCTCACCTCTGCTCTACACCCCTCACCTCTGCTCTACACCCCCTCACCTCTGCTCTACACCCCTCACCTCTGCTCTACACCCCTCACCTCTGCTCTACACCCCTCACAGTCAACACCACGTAATCAAACGGCACCTGACCCAAAAATGTGTGAAAATATAATTATGTGATATAAACAACAATTTCGAAGATTAATGTCTAAAGTCGAACCTGGGTCCATACACTCACTTGAGACGCAAGGCACCAGCGAGCCAAGAACAGAGCCAACGTTGTGCAGAGTACACTGGGAGGAGGAGGAGGTGGTGGAGGAGGAGGAGGAGAAGAGCAGGAGTCTCAAGTGAGTGGATAAGAGGAGCGAACATCGTCACCGGTTAACAATAGACCAAACCAAAAATCTTATAGGGAACACTAAAGAAATCTCACGAGGCGCACATGAACTGTATATCATCAGCGGCATGTGCAAGATTTTGTTTTTAAAATTGCATTACTGTCTTTACGAGTCTTAGAAAATGGAGTTAATACATAATTCTGCGGACCACAGTATAGCGTCTTCAGGTCGTCCAACACAGGACCCAAGAGCCAGAGCTCAACCCCCGCAAGCACAATAGGTGAGAACCTGGATAACAAAAATACCCTCTTCGGTATCTGGGCAGTGAATAAATTTAATGAAAAAAAAAGGAATTTGAAACTTGAAGACAGAATCCATACATGGATTTAACTGTAGATACATCAGGACCAAGGAGCTAAGACACGACTGTGACTGTCAAAGTGTTCCAGAGGCGGGACCGGGAGGTGAAGCTCAACACCTACAAGTACAACTAGGTGGGGTGGGGACGCTGGCACCCTGACGAGCTAGGCCACCATGACCTCGCCGAGTCTTAGGTCAACAGTCTTAAGCAGGTATTTAGGCGACTGTAAACTCATCGTATCGTGCGAAGGTTTCTTAAACCATGCTTCTTTGTTTGTACGCGCGAGGGAGGAACTAGGCAGTATGGTGGAGACAGAGAAGGCTTGGAAAGAACCGACACACCTACATGTGTCTTCCATAAGGACAGGATGTGTCATGTGTTATGAGGACACAGGTGTCGAGTATGTGACACAGGTGTCGTAATATCGGGTAACACAGTTTTCCTTGCCACCTTTCGTATATTTATCATATTTTGCACCTCGAACTGTGTCTGTATCTCTCATTAGTCCGTCGTCTTCAGTCACGACTTTACAAGAAAAACGCCAAGAAACCGCTTGATGTGTGTATGTGTTTGACTCCTCCATTAGCAGAGAAACTAGCGGGATGGACTCTGGTCAGAAATATCCCAAGGATAAGGTGTAAATGTCCCAGGTGTCTGCGACGACCAGGGGCGCCCCCTTGAAGCAGACTTTGGAGCTCCACGAATGTCATCAGGAAGCAAGTTGCCTGCTGGGGTGTTTCGGAACGCCTTCATACCTTGTTCCTGCCCCTCGCCTCCCCCTCAGACTCCATCCCTCCTCCCTATTCTACCCTCCCTTTCTCTCCCTCCCTTACCCCCTCCCGCCCCTTCCCGTAGGTCTGGTGACCTTGCGTGTCCTTCAGATGGACCTTAAGCGACCTCAGCCGGTCGCTTAAAGAAGTTGTCGATGTTGTGGAAGTTACGATGAAGGTCCAACATGCCTGGTGATTTACGCACCTTCCCGCCCGCCCTATCCTCCCTGGGTCAAGCTAGCGATAAACCAGCGCTTCCCGGGATGAAATCCGTACATTCCTTGTGCCAGGTAGCTCACGGGGTCACCATAGCCCGTGCTGCTTGGAACTTTTTGTTCCCGGTAGCTGAATCTAAAAGAAAAACATGGATCAGATTAGATTTAGACTTCAATGAGGAAATCAGTGGGAGTCGTGAGGAGGATTCGAACCTGGGTATGCTCTGGGTACTTCCAAGTAAACGCCTTAGGACACTACACCACAACATGGTCAAAAACATTGCAACCTGGGATTCGACTGATTCCTCTAGAGTTCCTGCGGCTTACACTAAGGCCATACTGTGTGCATGAGACGTCAACATTTCTGTTGTTAACCCATTACAATGGCTCCATAACCTGTTTAACCAAGAATACGTTTAAAACTGTGAAGACAATTACCCTAAACTACCCACATCATTTGACTCCTTTCATTTTGAGTTCGTTTCCTGACAAGGCTGAGTGGTCTTGACCAGGGCGTCCTCGGAATGCTGGCGTCCTCGAAGGCCCGTGGCTGCTCCCTCAGCAGGCCGTCCTCAGCAGGCCGGCGTCCTCGACAGGATGACAGTAGCCTCGACAGGGGGAGAGGGAGGTGGGAGGGATGTGTGGGAGAGGGGGGAGGTGTCGAGGAGATAGGTTGCGGGCCGGCACCACAGGCCCTCATACGTGTGTCAGAGTGAACCAGGCACACATCTCTCCCTCGCTCACAGTGCCAGGCGCTCGGAAAGCATTCTCAGTTCGACACACATGTGTTGATACCTCCAGAGCGCCGCTACACACACACGCACGAAGAACTTCTCTCTCTCTTTCTCAAGAGGTACTTGACCCTACTGTCCGCCACTGGTCTACACGAACTAATTACAAATTATGGACTTTGAAACTGGAGCATAAATGCGGCTTTTTATATATACGAACAAAGTCAGTGTCGAAATCCACAATGAACTGAAAAATCAGTGACACGGTGAATTTGTGAGGGAAAAGAGTGATCATATGTGGGGGAAAAAATATAGTTGATTAGTGACGTCTTTTGTGGTATATTGGCAACACTGTGCCGAGGAAATAATAACAGAACATGGCCCGGGGGAACACAAGACTTGGAGGGATGTTTGTGTGGCTGGGGGCCGAGACCAGTGGAAACAGCAACGGTAGAACCCCACCCATCCATCCCCGCCTTGGGGGAGCTCACTCGCTCGCTCACTCACTCACTCACTCACTCACTCACTCACTCACTCACTCACTCACTCACTCACTCACTCACTCACTCACTCACTCACTCACTCACGACCATATTAAGACACACTCTTTTGTTTACATCCTTTCTGTACTCACACACTGGTCAAAGACTCGGCAGGAGCCTAAACAAAATCCTGATCTATTCAAATCTTTGTTTACCACCCCCTCTGTTTACACACACACACACACACACACACACGCACACACACACACACACACACACACACACACACACACACACACACACACACACACACACACACACACACACACACACACACACACACACGATCTACAAACAAACATGACAATTTGCTTTACGTCTGATCAAAGCAGCTTCACACTTGCCCCACTCTCATGCACGACCAAGAAACTTATCAAGGCATTTAGACCGCTCAAACTATCCATGAAAATCATTCCAAAACAACAAATAGATTTGTCTAATAGTTAACTAGCGAGAAGTGTCAATGTGTACAGGACACATATTGTTGGACAACACAGGAAACATGTGTTAGATGATTACTAGCGCGACCTATCAGGAATATGAGGCAATTTTTTGGGGGAAAGGAATATTGTGTGGAATGCAGATGATGATGAGTTTGATGAGACACAGCCAAATGATGGTGAGAAAAAGGAATAAATGGTTGATAGTGACATAGTTATGGAGCTAAGAGGGTGTCATAGCAGCAGGGAGACAGAGAAGGGTGTGTGTGTGAAACAGAATTAGAGAGAATGGGGGACGGGTGTGGGGGGGGGGGGAAGGGGTGAGAGAAAGTGAGAGTGTTGAGGCAGATATACAAGAAGGAGAGTGAGACACAAACAGCTTGACACACATGACTCGCAGGGGGCTCATACCAGGTGTGGAACAGGTGTGAATACTAGTACTGTAATCACTACAGTTAATTTCTCTTACTTCCCTTTCTTCTCTCACTTAGTTCTCCTACTTCTCTTGTTTCTCCTACTCCTTCTCTTCCTCCCTGCTCCTCTTACTAAGAAAGAGCCACAAAGGAAGTGATGGTGAAGATTGTGAAGGGAAAGTCGCCAAGGCAGCGAAAGTTTCTCAGTATGGACTGCAGGGGACTACGTTGGGGGTGGGGGGGGGGGAGGGAGGTGGAGAGAGTGAGTGAGTGAGGGAGTGAGGGAGTGAGGGAGGGAGGGAGGTGGAGAGAGTGAGGGAGGGGGTGAGGGAGTGAGGGAGAGAGTGAGGGAGGGGGTGGTGTGAGGGAGAGAGTGAGGGAGGGGGTGGTGTGAGGAAGAGAGTGAGGGAGGGGGTGGTGTGAGGAAGAGAGTGAGGGAGGGGGTGAGGGAGAGTGGGAGGGAGGTGGAGGGAAGGAAGATAGGACAGTAAGGAAGGGAGGACATAGGAAGTAAGGGATTATGGATACAGATAGTAACATTATGAAGTAATTTGACGATGATAGTGATGATAGTGATGGTGATGATAGTGATGGTGATGGTGGGAGTATGGTAGTGATAGTGATGGTGGGAGTATGATGGTGATGGGGGTATGGTGTTGATAGTGATGGTGGTGATAGTGATGGGAGTATGGTGGTGATAGTGATGGTGGGAGTATGGTGGTGAGAGTGATGGTGGTGATAGTCCCCACCTCCCCCCACCCCCACCACCACACCACCCCACCACCACACCACCCCACCACACCACCACTCCACCCCACCCCCACCCCACCCCACCCCACCCCCACCCTAGATAGCAGACACGTTTTAAACCACCGGCTATCGAATCCTTTCAAACGATAACTAGTTTTTGCGGTTATATTTGATAACATTATTATTTTGTTTTCCAGTGTGTTAGTGGGATCCATATTGAAGTCTTAGACTGAACACAGGAAAATAGAAAACTCCAAACACAGTGAACTAGAAAACATAGAAAACAAACTTATTTATTAAAGCTCTGTCCTCGACAATCCCAAAAGCAAAATCAGCTTTTCTTCCCATTTGTGCAAGTGACCGTTTGAAAATACGGAAATCAGAGAGTGGAGGGGAAAAAGAAAACGGAGGGAAGAGGAGTGTCCAGAGTAGAGAGAGCCGGATTGGCGTATGTGTTGATCCACCGCTCAAGTGAAGGTGTCCCAGAGCGAGGTCAGGATACACTGACTTCGTTCACCTCCCGGACACACCACCACCACAGTATCTACCACCACAATGATGCGCAAAGAATCAAGGTAAGTGAATATGAAGCAAGAATGGTTAATAGTTTTATGCCTCGAGGATTATATTGTTGGGCTTCTTATTATTAATTATTTTTTCTCACAAGTGAATAATACCGGATAAATTTTCAGCTGTGAGCAGGCTTAGAGCTGCTGTGAGCAGGCTTAGAGCTGCTGTGAGCAGGCTTAGAGCTGCTGTGAGCAGGCTTAGAGCTCCTGTGAGCAGGCTTAGAGCTCCTGTGAGCAGGCTTAGAGCTCCTGTGAGCAGGCTTAGAGCTCCTGTGAGCAGGCTTAGAGCTGCTGTGAGCAGGCTTAGCTGCTGTGAGCAGGCTTAGAGCTGCTGTGAGCAGGCTTAGAGCTGCTGTGAGCAGGCTTAGCTGCTGTGAGCAGGCTTAGAGCTGCTGTGAGCAGGCTTAGAGGTTCTCCCTGCCCCACATATCTTCTCATTCCCCTGGAACACGATGCGCCAAGCAGTTTGCAACCAGGTTGGCCCTCGCTGTAGGGTGACAGGTAAGGAATGGTGCGGGGGTTGTGGAGACTTGAACGACCACCAAGTAGGAAACCAATGAAAAAGGAACTACGAGTTTGTTTACTATTTAAGAGTTTGACTTTACTTGATCTGAGCGATACTGTTGTTAGCCGCTCAGGAGCTGATTGGTGGGATCTTGTACTACTGTTAACGGGGCGAGATCTGATTGGTGGGATCTTGTTCTACTGTTAACGGGACGGGATCTGAACCTGACTGTTAGGGGGTTGCATGGTTGAGCGCTTTCAGGTCAGTCATTGACTGTGTGTGTGTGTGTGTGTGTGTGTGTGTGTGTGTGGTGTGTGTGTGTGTGTGTGGCTACTCTAGGGGTTAACAAGGTCGCCTGAGGAACTGGTTTGTCAGGGACCAACATGACTCTAACTTTGTCATGCACCGCTATAAATATTTACGAGGTCTGGTCGGTCTCTATGGGCTGGAGGCTTCAGGTCACGGAGGCACCATCGCAGCTCTAATTCGAACCCTCGTTTCGTACACACCCGAAATTGTTCTAGTTTGAATGGCTTCAAGTAGGGTTGGGAGGTGGATTCCCCCGCTGGGGCTGCATACTCGAGGATTGCTCTCACGTACGTTGAATAATTGAACTTAGTTCTTAGTGAATAATTGAACTTGGGTCTTAGGAACTATTCGTGGGGTCTTAGGAACTACCTGTGGGTCTTAGGAACTACCTGTGGGTCTTAGGAACTACCTGTGGGTCTCAGGAACTACCTGTGGGCCTTAGGAACTACCTGTGGGTCTTAGGAACTACCTGTGGGTCTTAGGAACTACCTGTGGGTCTTAGGAACTACCTGTGGGTCTCAGGAACTACCTGTGGGTCTTAGGAACTACCTGTGGGTCTTAGGAACTACCTGTGGGGTCTTAGGAACTACCTGTGGGGTCTTAGGAACTACCTGTGGGTCTTAGGAACTACCTGTGGGTCTTAGGAACTACCTGTGGGTCTTAGGAACTACCTGTGGGTCTTAGGAACTACCTGTGGGTCTTAGGAACTACCTGTGGGTCTTAGGAACTACCTGTGGGGTCTTAGGAACTACCTGTGGGTCTTAGGAACTACCTGTGGGTCTTAGGAACTACCTGTGGGTCTTAGGAACTACCTGTGGGGTCTTAGGAACTACCTGTGGGTCTTAGGAACTACCTGTGGGGTTTTACGAACTACCTGAGCGTCTTACGAACTACTTGAACGTCTTACGAACTACCTGAACGTCTTACGAACTACCTGAGCGTCTTACGAACTACCTGAACGTCTTACGAACTACCTGAGCATCTTACGAACTACCTGAGGCACTGTTTACACTATCCTCTAACCACCTGTTGCTTTACGGTCACCATGAAAGCCCCGCTGCTCCGTCATAATAACTTTCACCATCTTTCCACCCCATTCACGCTGCCGTTTTTGTTATGCCTATTCACCTGTAGGTACCTTGTATGGCGTTCGAGAGTTCGTCTACTCCTATGGGTTCACCATACCCCGTGCTGCTCGGAGCTTTGGTTCAGAGTAGCTGTGAATTTAAAACAAGATTGTGTGTCTGTGTCTGTCTCTGTGTCTTTCTGTCTGTCTCTGTCTCTGTCTCTGTCTCTGTCTCTCTCTCTCTCTCTCTCTCTCTCTCTCTCTCTCTCTCTCTCTCTCTCTCTCTCTCTCTCTCTCTCTCTCTCTCTCTCTCTCTCTCTCTCTCTCTCTCTTTCCCTCCACGGAGGGCCACGATTTCCTGGTGATAAGTTGATTGGAAAGGCTGTTGGTGGCGGCTTCTTGCAGGCTCACATGGGCTTTATAAAACATAGACAGTGACCTAGAGACCGGTGGTGGGGGGGGGGGGGGGGGGGCTGAGCTGCTGCTCCGCTGTCAGGCGTCGCTGTCGTCGCCGTCGGACGTCGTCGGACGTCGTCGGACGTCAGGTCTTCCCTTCCCCGCTGTAAGAACGACATTCACGTGGTTGTTGTGGTTGGCAGGGAACGCTCCAGGCCGCCCTGAACACTGTTATAAACATAAGCTACACACACACACACACACACACACACACACACACACACACACACACACACACACACACACACACACACACACACACACACACACACACACACGTGCATACAGCCCCTCCCCATCTTTTGTTTACACGTGGGAAGACCACCAACATTCCTGGCTGACGAACTGACGCAACTCGTCCATGAATGGAGGTGCCGAGTTGACTGTGACCAGCTACACACTCAAGTCATAAACACCGTGTGATTGGTGTAATGTTTGGACGCGTGTCTTATATCTGGCGGTGCCGTGGTTTATCTGTCTCCCATTCATCCATCCACCTATTCATCATTCTATTCATCTATCCGTCAATCTATCCATCTAGCCAATCTTCAACAGGGGGATGTAATGGACTGTAGTTGAGGAAAAGTATTTCTTTTAGCCCTTTACTTCATTGGACCGTGAAACGTGGCAACACCGCTTTTGTTGTTGTCGTAGTATTGGGGTTAAATTATGAATGGCTAGGCGCGTTTGTGACGACGCGTCTCATTGGTCGAAACATTACAACACTGGTTCTTATAATTCGCACTGCAGTCGACAGGAAAATATTGAAGAGCGGTGAATATAAAAATTAATATATGTAGATTAGTGCAAAAAGGGAGATGGCTTTACCTTTTGTGCTTTGAGTTAATTGTGACCTTTTATGCAAATGATGTACGATAATTTTATTTATTGCCATTTAGCTGTCGAGACAAACGCCATGACGTCACACAAAACGGTCTTTTCCATTTACTCTTTTTTACTACGATAACAATAGCGGCGCTGCCAATTTTTGCGCGGTGCAATGAAAGGGGTTAAATTACGGGTTATTCATGTCCGTGCCACTTCCTGGGTGGCTTAATCTTTATCAATCAATCGAAGGGGGTAGAGGAATTCTTTTCCTCAAGTGTTCAATCTTCAACGGAACGTCGCGGGGGAATAATGCTCTAAAGATGACGAGGACGGTCTGTGTACAAGTTAACTCGGCTTTGATGACCAGACCACACAGGACAGGACGACGACGTTTCGGTCCGTCCTGGACCATTCTCAAGTCCTTAGAGAATGGTTCGTCCTGGACGTGAAAATGGTCCAGGACGGACCGAAACGTCGTCGTTCCTTCACATTCTAGTGTGTGGTCTGGTCAACATACTTTAGCCACGTTATTATGACTCATCGCCTGCATAACTCGGCTTTGCCTCAGGAAGAGGTAGAGAAAGGGATGAGGGATGGAGGAAGGGTGAAGGTGAGGGTGGGAAGGCATGCATTAGTGTCACCACCATCACACAACCATTGCCAGCAGTGATACCATCCAATACCTCGAATCAATTAACCTTGGCTAAGGGAGAGGCCGATGTCTCTTTGGACTCTTGCCAGGCTGGTAACTTTTTTGGGGGGAAGAAAAACCGTGTTGAGATAGTTGGTAATACTGGACTACCTGTGTGTTTAAGCCTCCTGGTTCATCTTATTGGTGTATTGTGTATGGTGACTTATGTGTGTGTACTCACCTACATGTGCTAGCAGGGTCGGCTTAAGGCTCTTAGCCCCTCCTAAACGTTCTTAGATTAATGCAATGACTTATTTATTGACATCTCTAACACTGAACAACTTCTGTCTGATATCTCTGTGGCTCATTTATGTGTCTTTACTTCATCTATGACTCCTCGTTCTGGTGTTCCTAGCTTTGAACAATGCTGCTTGGTCTATTTTGTAAATTTCCCTTAGAATATTATAAGATGTGAAGCCTCCACAGCTCATATACTTTGCAATGAAATAAGAGTCAGTTCTCAAGTCTTTCCTCATAGCTCAGTCCCTTCAGCTCAGGAACGAGTCTCGTAGCATATTTTTTTTTTACAGTGTCTCCTTTTTGAGGTAAGGGTTCCATGCTGGAGATGCATATTCAAGAGTGGGTATCACCTTCGTTATATATCTAGAGCCCGAAATTCCCTTTGTCTTAGTTTGTGAAAGATACACAGATGTTGTCCAGTGTGCCATGTACCGTTGTTCTGCTAATGTGGGCTTCTGGCATCAGATTTGAAGTTGGAATATTTCTCTGCCGTGAACAAATCCACAAGGGCCGTGACGAGGATTCGAACCTACGTCCCAGATCTTCCCAGACGCTGCCTTAATCGACTGAGCTACGACATGGTCATAGGTTCGAATTCTCGTCACGGCCCTTGTGGATTTGTTCATTGATGCATCACGCTATTGTGATTTCTGTGTGTAGACCAGACCACACACTAGAAGGTGAAGGGACGACGACGTTTTAGCTACGTTATTGTGACTCATCGCCTGCATAATTCTTGTATTTTTGCTATGTCTGAGTCCAGGGGTATTGACTGTAGGTTACATTGTGTTGATTTACTGACTCCCAGCACGGCATCTCTCTGACTTTGCACTTGTTTGAGTTAAACTCTAGTAGCCACTTGTTGGGCCTTGCCTTTAGCTTATCCAGGTCATGCTGCGTGTACCTGGATG